TCACAATGTTTCACATTCATTACATTTTTATTGTAACTCCACAATGGTTGTTTGTCCCTACCAATGGAAGGACCTCTTGAAATATTGCACCTTCAGAGACAGCTATACTGCACTGTCATTACCATGGTTCAGATTAAAAATACATTTTATGTCAAGTTTGTGGAACAATTGTGGAAGTTTTTCAGATTGTGAACAAAGACTCTTCGGGTACGTTAAAAATAGGCTTTTCCAGCCTGACTGTCGTAAATCACTGCTCTGACCTCGCAGGTAATCCATCCCAAAAAATACTGTTAATAATAATATACTGTACATTGATAATAAGCAATGGGATTAAGCAGTGCATTACTTTTCAACGAGGGTATTGTAAAAGCACTACAAATTTCAGACCTTGTGCTGAGATATTTTTTTGTAAATTGGATATATTTAGATAAATTATGCAAGTTGACTTAAATCAAAATAAAAGATCATTATTTTTCATTGAGCTTAACACAGTGTCTACATTTTACTGCTCTGCCTTCGCTTGATGAAACATTTAAATCTATTGCACCCACATCTGCACAAGTTTGGAGCTAAACCATGTTTTTAGGCCAGGATTTACAGTGATGGATAGAAAGAAATGTAAGGACCAAAGGTTCAAAATGAAGTGTGTTAAAGACAGAATGGTGTGACACTCAATACCAAGGTTCTTCAGAAACATCAGGACTACTGCTATTACTGCTGCAGTTTAAACCCAGAGTTAAACGAAAATATGATGGAAAGAAGAAACAAACAGGGCAGAAGAGCGAGATTGTGGGACATTGACTGTTGATAGGGAGACTGTTTAGCTGTCTTTGGCTGTCTGCAACTAAAACATATAACACACACACACACACTACCTGCCACAGCATGGGAGAAGAAACATATGACTAATTACATCTCTTTCCAAGCCATTGAAAGAGTAAATGCCAAAGAAGAGACACACATATTCATAACAGGGCACAGTGGGGTTGCCTCGGATGTTGAAAATGATCCAGAATGTGACTGGGGAGAAAGGGGAAATTGATTAGCATTAGATAGACAGACAGATTCTAGAGTCTTATAAAAGCTGCCTGCTGGTTTCTCGCAGATGATGCATTTTTGAAATCACACAGCAACTCTCAATTGAGTGTAATACACTGTGCAGTCATGAAATGTTGGCACGGCAATTAGCATATGACTGTTTTTTGAATATGATTCAAAGCATGAAAGTGGTGAAATTGAAACTGTGATGTTTCCCTGCTGCGAAGACACGAAGACGGAGCGCGATTCCCACAGCAGGAGCATTTATTAGTGGCTTTGGAACCAGTAGGTTGGGTCCCAAATTTAATTTTGTAACTATATAAGAAAGTTAATCCATTTTAAAGTGTGTGTAGTGAATCCCTTTTTAAATTGTGCTGCATACTTAAAGGACTGTACAAACTTATGTAACCTGACATTGAGAGATTCTGGACTGGTAGCAAGGGATGCAAAGGCTGAGTATAAAGTGAGGATGAAGAGGAGATCAGAGTTTGTCTTGGCCAAGCCAGTGATTGTTTATTACTTAACACTCACAGTATTTCACATTCTCACATAACTCAGTCACATACAGGATACCTTATTACAAACATATAGCTCAAACAATTCCTCAGAAATATTTATTTAAAAAACTATCGTGGGCACATTGAGATTAGATAGACATTTCATCAAATTAAATGAATCTATTACCCAATACTCACCAACACCAACATTTTCCAAATAAATGTACAAAATATACACACATTTTCCACTTTACATTTGTACCCATAGTTACCTGCATTACACATGCACTCATGCTCTTACTACACTTCTACATGCTGTCTGACACAGCCTTTCTCTGTCTCAAGTCAAATGTGACAGTGGGCCAGCATGGCACTAACAGGACCTCGAAACTAAAGCAGCTAAATGGATTTCAACCATCCTTATTTAATGATCTACATCTTCGCTTTGCTTACTCTGGCTTCTTAAAACACATTCTGTAAAAATGGCTGCTTCATTAGATTGTTAAATTCACTCAAAAGGTTTAATCCAGTGCATGTTTCAGTGCTAAGTTGGTCATGTATGCTGGGATGGCACACTGCACTCTGAAAGCTGGCTGCCTTTTTATTGATTCAATATTAGAGTTTGTCCCATTTTGGGTCTGAGCCAGGTGAAGTCTGTTGTTAAAGTTTTGAAAAGAAAAAGATTGTGCTGAGAGTTCTACTGAGACACTTCTGAATGCAGCACAGTGGAATATATTCTGTTCCAGAGTTAAGGTAACACAGAAACAGAGGTTTCCTATTCACTGTTATTTTAATAAGGGAGTCAAGGGAACTAAACTAGGAGGTAAAATAAAGTAGTGTGTTTATACTTACACTTATACTTATTTGGGAACAAAGCCTCAACAAAGTACCTTTACTAGAAGAAAAACATACCTCTCAATTGCATTGCTACAATTTTCTCTATGTCTTGGGACAAAGAGAAGTTAGCTACAGCTGTTAGTTTTTGCTCTTGTCTTTAGACTCAAATCTTCATGAAAAAGAAAAGAAGTTCCAGTGGATTGTTCCTATTTTCCAGTTTATCTCCAGTTTCCTCTTATTTTATTAAGCATCCTCATCAGAATGTTCCTGCCCCCCCCCTCCCCCATGCACTTGAGAAAGTTATTTTTCTGTGAACAATATTTCTGGGTTGGGGCAAATCATTTAATGGGAAAAGTTGTCCTCTTGTGTGGATGGTATAAAATCCATCCTTCCCATAATTATTATAGGCAATGCTTTAAAAAAACAAAAAAGAAAGTGGACCACATTTAATTGCACCTCTATTGTAAAAAGAAAAAGCCATCATAATTCTTTGAGTTTCTCTATTAAGAAGAGGGAAGAGGTAATAAATAGGAAACAACCTGGGGCCTCATTTATAGAACAGTGTGTAGGATTCATATTAAAAGTGTACGTGTGCACAAAGGCTAAAAACTGCTACCTGAATCTCACTCCACCTGGAAACGTCTCAAAGTACGCCCTCTACACGCCCACATTCAACCATAAATGGTCAATGCAAATCAGCTCATGAATATTAAATTATTGTGCTGAACAATCATGGTCTGTTTGTTAGGGAGGTGGAGGTGAAGACAGATTGTTTGGTGGCCACAGCAGTGATTTCTTTAATAAAGAAAACATACTGAGACACTGCTGCTGCAAATAATACAGTGAGTGAATACGAAAAAACCTAATTCAAAGGTAGAGGCAAACAAAACACTTCGGAGTCAGAATATAAGGGAACTTGTTGTATCACCTGTTCGCATTTGAAAAATCCCAATATGCAGGATTATTACATTCAGAAACAGCTGTGATGTCCCCAATCTATAAATTATATTTTTAAACGATTAAAAAAATAATTTACATAGAAAGGTTAATATTAGACAGTGCTAATCATAGCACAGGTATGCACCTGTCGGCTGATAAACCAGAGAGAACTTGTGTTTGCACTGGGATGGTTCGGTTCTGTCAGGTCGATCTGTGTAATGCTGGACTCAGTTCAGCACAAAGATCCAGGGTCACAGATCTATAGAATCTATATCAGCTGATCAGTCATTGCTGAACACTCGTTTCCTCCTCATCCTTCCTCTCGTGTGCATTCGTCACGCAGCATTAGGCACGAGTGTCACCGCAGTATTTATATATTCAGAGCAATCGGACCGAATACTTCACTCATCAGTGAATCCTAACCTCCACCTTGGGATATTATTTGGAAATGGCAATTTGAAACTGAAGTTTTTTTAGTTTTTTGTAAGTGATCTCCAGTGCACTCTGTGCGCCTGATGGCACAGTCACCTTCACTGCAGCGATTTTACTCGCACACACACACACACTCAATGAAAACTCAAGTCGTACTTCATGATAGAAGATATTATCAAAAGCTATTGATGACTCGTCTCTTCAACTCTGCTGTTTAATAATATCTCAAAGTCATTTTCTGTAAGTTGGTTTATACCTTTTTTCAATTGAAGATTCCTATGGAACAGTTGTGTTGTACGAGCACTAATAACGCTGTTGGTTATAATGATGAAGTGGATCAATAATCTGGCATCAGTTAACGTCTGTATCGTCAGTTTACCATCTCCAAAATGTTCGTACCCATGTCCCAGAGTTAGCGTACAATTGCATACATTCTCCTGTCAAGTTTTTTTTATACATCCCAACATTTGCGTTAGAAGTGGTGTCCTCATCTTTCGGGCCCAGTTTTGTGTGTACGCAATGGTTATAAACGAGGCCTCTAGGGCAGCAGGTTGTTTTTGGTGACTTCACAGTTTCTAGCTCTGAATTTGCTAAACCGTGCCTGTGGCCAGGCTTCAAACCTCATTGTATATGAACACACACCCTGTAGCAAGAGCTGCCACTGAAACATATGAGGAGACGAATGTTTCTATTTCTATTCTGTTCTCTTGTCTCTGTAATAATAGCATGGCAACTGCAGCTGAGGCTTCTCCACCAATCAGCTACAAAACAGTGAGCCATTTGAAACGTGGTCAAGTGACCCCCCCTCAACACACACACATACGCGGGAGCGCAAATAGACCGAGCCAGTTGATGAGCCGTTGTCTTTAAACATGTCATTGCTATCGGCCTCAGACGCGATAAGACAGGTTATTAGTGTCAGTATCACAATATTCAATAATGATAGTATGCACACTGCGGGCGCAGATTTCAATAGCTGTGTATAGTAGAGCTTGAATTAGAGCTGTCACTTTGGTTTCATAGACTGACTACATGGCATTGAATATCATGTTACATGTTCAAAAATGTACATCCACTTTATTTACTCTAATATCGAGAAATTCCTTTTTCTGCAGTGCAGCATTCTCAACACTTCCCCTTTAAGCCCTTACAAAAATATCATTTTGAACCAGCTTGCAAAAGAAATGAAATAAATAAACTTAACTCTGAAAATGAAGGAAACCTCACCATGTATTTATTTTATTTTTATTTTCACAGGCTTGCAAGATGTCCTTCCAGAGTTCCTGCGTGGGCGATTTGTGGAGGCAGCCCTCAGCTATGTGGCCTGCAACTCAGAGGGTGAGTTGCTCTGCCGCAACAACGACTGCTGGTGCCGGTGCTCTTCCCGCTTCCCAGAATGCAACTGTCCCTTCGCGGACATCAAGGTCATGGAGGAGAACCTGGAGAAGAGCAAGGAGGCCTGGAGCGGCTTTAACCAAGAGTTCATGGAATCAGGTATGGGCTGTGATGGTTTGCACGAAACATGTTGAGCTGCTTACAATGAGCTCGTGGTGAATCAGGTTCTAGTTTGGTGACAAAGGACAGTCTGTTTATTTTCTGGATTGACTTATCACAACAGTGATGTGTTAGGGATCAATGGGGTTTTTGGCTTTAAAATTTAACTTAACCCATATTTAACCATTCCATGGAGAGTATATGTTGTCATGGCGATTGTGGCCATTTTGTGGCACTTTTGGATACTTAAATATGATGAAATGAAGCTGTATGCATAGAAATGTTCTAATAACTTTAAGTTTGTGATGGCAGCCCACCTATCTACATTGTTTAGCTATGAGCACTCCAGCAGCCGCACACACACTTCTGTGACAGATATGTTGCATGAAGTAGAGGCTTCGTCGTCCTGAGCCGTTCAGCACAGGCAGCTTTACTGAGACAGCTGAGGCTAAAGCAACCATGTCTGAGACAGCCGGCGCTCCCAAGCTGTTTGAACTACTGGCACAGGCAGCCGTGCTCTTGGCCACCTGGAAACTCTGGAGGAGAGAAGCCCTGTACTTAACACGACAAGCCGAGGCTAAAGAGGCTGTGGATATGGAGGGGCAGGTGAGGTTGGGGGACGTCTCTGATGGACTGGTTTTGGGATTTGGTTTGAGCATAGATTTGAAAATGAGCTCAGTTTTCCAGTTTCTTACTCAGGAGCAGTTGCTGGTGTCGCGGGCAATCTTTGATTAGAGAGTTCTGACTGCAAGGTCCAAGACATGGTGAATGTAGATTTTTCAAATAAATGTGATATTGAAACCAGCTTCAATGTATTGTATCACAGAACAGTCATATAACTTGGTTTACAGCTAAGTATGCAAACATGAGTTTTTTTGGAATATCTGTTCTTCTTTTTTTAATGTGCACATAATAATGTGTGGATGATAAATAAATCATCAAATATTTTAAACTTAAAAAGAACATTTTTTATTGAAGTAAAATGGTGAGTGAGCCTATGGCCCACCAACGATTCCTTCTGCTGCAGATTCACATCAAAAGCTTTTAACCGACAAACCAAAAGTTATATTTATGAAGTTAAACATTGAGTTTACAGTGTCATTATCGTTACAGTGTCGTGTCGACAGGCTGGACACCTCCATCTGCTCATGGTGGATACCAACCTTTTCACGTTATCCTGCCATTCACAGACTCATGTCGAGTGCAGCACAACATTCACATTGAAGTTGCTCACAAAATGATTGAAAAAGGTCTTTTATTGACTGACTTTTTTATCAAAATTTCAATAGTTTTTTTTGTGACCTGAAGTATTTAAGTGCAAATGATGTAACTCACCAGTAACTTCAAGTGTTAAATCGACCAAGACTGAAATTATGCATACATAAAATACTCAGTGCAAGTGCTCCGTTATTATGACATTTTGATTCTGCGTCAGGCTGAGGAGGTAGTGAAGGTGTCACAGTGAAGCTTTGACAGCTGGACTGAGATTGTGTTGCATAATAATGTTCCAGTCCCACATACAGCAGGTAGGATGGTGATGATTTATTCTCAATAACACTCAATTTCTGCACTGTGTACCTGTGAAGTGTTCAAACTGTGCTCGTAATCACTTGTGATATCGACAAACACAGCTTAGTCATGGAGGATGTTCAATAATCTATTGGATAACAGTTCAGCCCCTGCTCATTTTCTTCATTAAGACAAACATGTTATATAAAAGCCTCATGTGTGAGCTTCTAATAACTTCAGTATGCTGCATATTACCTGCTGTGTCTGAGGGTGAGTTAGTGTTACATGGATAATACTCGCACAAACAGAACTGATGCAGCAAAGGAAGAACAGGTTTTATCTACATTTTTAATTGATGGGGTGAAGGGATGTTGTCTGACAAGTCTTTGTGGGACTTATGATGTGCTATTTCTTCTTTTAAAAGAAAAAAATCATTTCAATTAAAGGGAAATTTTATTTAATTTCTCTTGGGTCTAAATCTAATACCTTTAACTACAGCTGTAAATAAATCGTAATAACTTCACTAAATGATTTGCTGATGTCATCTGGAGCCAGAGTCTTCAGGGTAGTGAGAACGATGTGAGAACATCTGTAGAATAAGAAATAACTGAAGGGACAGAAGAAGCCATCTTGGGGAAAAAATATTTGCTTGCGATTTAACTTTTTAGTTTGGTACATGGAGTCAGGGATATAGTCCATCTTACTGACAAACCCTCAGAGATGTTTTCTGGATCAGTCTTTGCTGATTTAGTTTTTTCAGATGTTTTACCTTCAGTATTATTGACTTGAGTTTTTGGACTGATCATGGTTCTAGCCCTTCTGGACTTCATTGTCACATTGTTGTCAATGCTCCAGTTTAGCCCCAGACTTTGCTTATTTGAACATTTGTTAACTTGTTGGGGGAATAAAACCTTTAAATACAATATTAACTGCTGTGTTGTCATAAGGCAGAATCATTATTTAAGAGCTCATATCAACTGACTGATAGCAGCATGGCACTTAGGATCTGAAGGATTAGTAATGGTAGTAATAGTTGTAATATATTAACTGTAGAAGAGAGTTAAGAGGGAGCACCAGTTGTAACTTTGTTATTAATACTTAAAAGTTAAGAATAAAGCATCTGAAGATATGAGGACATGTGTGTAGAGCTGTTCCCCCTCATCTGAAATCTAGAACCCAGCTTCAGCACAGTGGGACTCATTTACAGCTAAACTATATTAAGATGCTTGATAATTAAAGAAAACTTGGATTTAAAATTCTCTCAACTCAAGAGATTATCTTTGTTTGACTTACTGTTCGAAGCTGCTACATTGTTAAAAACCAAATAGTAATGCATGACAATGTTTTGAAACCTGTAAGTGTGAAAGCAGTGTCTTGGCACGCTGGGCCGCAGTGATGCAGACCCCATCAGGTATATAATCCTATTCTCCTGAAATCCATTTTCAGCAAACTGCTTCTTGGAAACTATTCATCACAGAGAGTGAGACACGGGTGTCATCCACTGCCGCAATGATAAATAACCAGACATAAGGCCATTCTCTAAGTAGCTTTTTGTTTTTGTTTTATTATATATCTCTCAACTTATCACCAACTCACTTCTTAATGACTTGAAAAGTTGAGGCAGATTTAATTAGAGGCAAACGTGTGTGTGTGTGTGTGTGTAGGTTTAACTTGTAGTGGAGTCCAAGATTAATTAACACGCACAAGAAGACTTGTTATACTCATGGCAACAAAATACAAGCAACATTTTAAGGCAAAAACCTGGTTTAAGGTCAGGGTAAGGTAAGGTTATGTTAGGGTTAGCAGAGTATTGGCTATGGTTAAAGGGGACCTATTGTGCATTTTCTTATTTTCAGAGGTACAGCTGGATTTTCATATTAAACGTGGTTAGAGTTTCAAAACATTGGCTAGATGCATGTAAGCCACAAGGAGCAGGACTTTTTTTTTTGTTAACATCTGGTTTCCAACGGTTTTTGTCACACTGGGAATTCTGAGATTACCTTGAACTTCAATATTTGGATATAACCACGCCCACTCAGCAGAAGGACACACCTACCTGCTCAGTCTGCAAATGCTCTACTCAGGAGTGGTCTAATAGGGAGGTGGGCCTTGAAGACGCAGGAGCTAAATCCAGCCGTTTCAGTGAAGACCGGGAACTGCAGGATCCATAGAGGGCCAGTATAAGATATATAGAGGGTTTTTGAACTGTAAATAGTGTTAAAATACTCTAGTGGAGTTCAAGAATAAATCAAAGAGGACTGGAAATGAGCAGAACAGGTCCACTCTAAGGTCGGAGTACGTCTTCAGGAAAGTTAATGTAAGTTAGTGTAATGTCCTCATGAGCTGTCGAGTCTCGTCTTTCCACGTTGCCATCTATGTGTGCTTCTTCTACATGCATGGCCTCTTTTTCATTCTGAGGTATATCAGTTCTTTATTTTCAGCGCCCGCCTTGCGCGTACTGAATTCCGTGGATAATCAGCAACTGACTATTCGTTCTCACATACAGCCCCTCTGGATAATTTCAGGAAATGATCCTAAATTCAGCACATCTGAAGGCAGTTATGGAGACACGACTGTGTGTGTATAAGTTGGAAAAAAAGAGATGGCTAGCTGTTACTGATATTGTGGGGACCTAAATCTGTCACATTCTAGGAACGTTTGGTGACAAAAATCTGGTAAATCACTACATTTTTAAAACATAAAAATTGTTTGATTCTCAACGCTTCAGCCCATGAATTTGCAAGGTTGTGTTTTTGTATTTTTTGCTGCATATGAAATCTTTGTAAAGATGCACTGACAGTCTCACAGAGGAGGAAGACAAATATTTGTCAGGCTTTTCTCGTTCTGCTGATGTTGTGGTTTTTTTTTCTCTAGCTTACCTTTTCCACTGTTTGTCACAGCCAGCAAGGCCTTTATGTACTTTTAGAGACTATGTTTGGGTAACGAGCTAAGAATATCACAAAAGGCTTCCTGGTTTGTTGCGCGCACATGAGGACAGACGGCGCAGACATGCACATACAGTGCACCCGCAGGCATGTATCCAGGGGATCATCAAAGTTTTATCTAATTTGAGGGAAGGCACAATCCACTCACACATGCATTTGCCTCATGCAGAGGCAGGTTGGGGTGAAGTGAATGCAGGGTGTTGGCAGGAGGGCAATCTGCATGGCAAATAATGTTTGACTTTCAGCACTCTATTGTAAGTCAGTATTCATTGTCTCTGTACTTTTTATCTCCCCCCCACTCCTCTCTCTCTCTCTCACACACACAATTACAGTGACAGATTGTTAACATGGAGAACTTTGTTTATATCATGTTACTTACAGGATATTAAACATTTTGCTAATAAAGTGAATGGTTAAGTCAAGTTTGAAAACATGTGTTCATCCTGTCTGGCTTATCTTCAGTGAAGATTGTATTGTATATCAAGTATATAGAATAGTTTTCATAAAACTGCTTTATCACTGTTCATGCAAGATTGAATGATTTAC